TGAATGAGACGAGAAAAATCATTGAACTGGACTGAGGAAAAATTTGTTCTGTTGAAAAAATACTGAATTACTTCACTTGCGGGCAAAAAATATTTATCTTGCGTTGAAAATTCAATCAAATTGGAAAATTTCCGTCTCACTTTCACTGAAAACTCATGAATTTCCTCGAATTCTCCCTAAAGTTGAAATCCCGTGACCATATTTACCACGAAATTTCGAAAAATTTATAACAGTGTAGAAATAAATAGAATAAAACTAAAATTTAATTTGGCGCAATTAAAAATTCAGTCGAGACAAATGAAATTTTAAAGTTAGACATCCCATTCTAATTTTTAATTTTCCATTCACTCCATGTAAAATTAATGGGTAATTTCCAACAAATCTCCCAGCATAAATTAATTCTCCACGGAGAAGATTCACCCCCCGGCGCCCAGACAAACCCGAGGCGGAAAAATCCGATACTGACCGGCGATTTACGTGCACACAATATAGCCCAACACACCTAGGCTAAACTTTCGTTTGCATCAAAATACGAGAGCAGGAAGTCGTTGAGTTACGGGGACAGCTTTATTACCCCCCCAGGGATAACCATAAAAAACGTTAAATACTTGAACAAAAGGATTTGTGATTTTTCCACCGAGATTTCAACGCACCAATTATTCGAATAAATTTTCGCATAGTTTTTCTCATAATGTATGAATAGTTATGATGTATAACATTTTGAAATACATGTAATAAAAGAAGGCTGAGTTTTTGCATTTTTTATTACCGAATATCTCGTCGTGTGGTTACATTTGTCGGTTTAATAACTCATACCGGAATATTTACTGGCACAACTTAGTGCACATGTTTTTTTTTTTATTCGTGACTCTATTTAAAATGCCGGGATGCCTCGGCTGCGTTTCTTGACAGAGGGGCAAAAACTTGGTGATGTGTAAATGCTCGTAGCGTGATGCCAGTACAGAAATTGCTGGGATATCGAGGATTTCTTGAATGAAGTGAGCGTATGAAGTTGAAAATATTTAACTTCACTCGGTGAATCAATTTGCTGGTACACGAAGAGAAAAACTGAAGAATGCTTTACGTGTTGTTAATAAAAATGTTTAACTGGGCGTTGAAGTGTATTTAGAGGGGGAAATTGAGGTTCAAGGGAATTCCGAATTTTTGAGCAGCAGGAGGACAAGAATTCCTCAATTTAGTGGATTTTTTTATTGAAACGTGAGTATTCAGGAATTAATTGCGTGAAATGGTCGGTTAAGTAAAAATTTAAGAATGTGTTCATCAGAATTTCCGTGATTTTTATGAATTTTGATGGAATAATTGAACGGCAATTTTCAGTTTTTGTTGATTTTTTCCTCGAAATTCCAGTGGAATTGTTACTTGGTAAATATTTTAAAGAATTGTAGGGGTTATTTCAGCCAAATATGTTTGATAGGGCTTTGAATTTTATTTGGAAGGGAAAAAATTGAATTTCAAGGGAATTCCGAATTTCTGAGCAGCAGGAGGACAAGAATTCCTCAATTTAGTGGATTTTTTTATTGAAACGTGAGTATTCAGGAATTAATTGCGTGAAATGGTCGGTTAAGTAAAAATTCAAGAATGTGTTCATCAGAATTTCCGTGATTTTTATGAATTTTGATGGAATAATTGAACGGCAATTTTCAGTTTTTGTTGATTTTTTCCTCGAAATTCCAGTGGAATTGTTACTTGGTAAATATTTTAAAGAATTGTAAGGGTTATTTCAGCCAAATATGTTTGATAGGGCATTGAATTTTATTTGGAGGGAAAAAATTGAATTTCAAGGGAATTCCGAATTTCTGAGCAGCAGGAGGACAAGAATTCCCCAATTTAGTGGATTTTTTTTATTGAAGCGTAAGTATTCAGGAATTAATTGCGTGAAAGGGTCGGTTAAGTAAAAATTCAATAATGCATTCACCAAAATTTCCGTGATTTCTATCGATTTTTAGGGAATAATTGAACGCAATTTTCAGTTTTTGTTGATTTTTTCGTCAAATTGTGAAATTTAAGTGCGGAAATTCCTTGAAATTCCGATGGGTTTGTCACTTGGTAAATATTGTTGAGGATTGTACTGACAATTTCAGCCAAAAATTTTTAATAAACACATAAAATCCCATTTGGAGGGGAAAAAATAATTGAATTTCAAATATTAAAGGAATTTCTCATTTTTGAACCGCAGGAAAACAAGAATTCCTCAATTTGCCTGAATTTTAAATTAAAACATGAATATTCGGTCCTTAAATACACTGAATCTTCAATTAATTAAAAATTTCAGAATATATTCATAGAAATTTCCTGAGTTCTGTTCAGTTTTATGAAATAATTGAACTGAATTTACAGTTTCTCTCGATTTTACCATCAGAAATAAAATTCCAACACCGCAATTCCTTGAAATTCCGATGAACCTATCGCATGCTATTTCCAAGAATTCCCCCAGAAATTCTAGTCAAAAATTTTCAAATTGACGTAAAATCCTCCCAGAAAATTTCAAATATCAGAGGAATTCCTCTCTTGTAACCACCAGAACCCCAAGAATTCGCCCATTCACCTAAATTAACAACTAAAACCCAAATATTCATAATTAAATTAGAACCTAATTAAAACCTCAATACCAATCCCCATCGACCAATAAAAAAAGAAGACTCAATCAAAAAAAAAAAATCCGCCAGCCCTTGACTCCAAAAATATCCCGCAACGACTCCGGTCACCTTAAACTATTTCTCCTAACAACACCGCAATACTTTTTTTTCCCACTGACCACCGGCAATACCCACCGCTTTACGATCGCAATGATCGCCGGAGTAATTATCCGTCCTCGTTTCGTCCCCTGGAATTTTGCAAAAGCTAACGATGTTCAGGTGGAAATTATCCTTGAGGGAGTTTCCCCGCATTTGACCTCATTGACTGTAACATCCTCGACTCCTCGAGCTCTACCACCGGTTCAACCCAAGCGAGAGACAAGACATTGCCCACGAATAGCCCTCCCGCTTATCGATAAGAGTCACGCGACGCTTAATGCTGAAACGAAGGACGAATTATTCCAGGATTTCTCTTTTCACCTTCTTATCAATAAATTTTTTAACCCCCCCTCGACTCGGGTTTACTGGTGTTGCAGCTATGCCCGGGATTTCTCATCTCTCAATCGACTCTTTGTACCGTGGGGGCTGGTAGGTACTTGTGCCCATGAAAAACACGCGCCGCTGCATATTCACCGTTAACGCGCAATACAACATATCATTCTTCGGGGCTGGGCCTTATCAGAAGCACTTCAAGGAACTCTTTGCCCCGGTTCTATCGTCTCCCCTGTCAATTTTTTTAACCTCCCGATTTTATTCATCCTACTTTCAATAACTAGTTTAGATGCTTAATCTTAATTCATGAGAGGTATATTTTTCACGTCCTGCGATTAAAATTAATGGATGAGGTCAATATGGAGTTCACGGATAGTCTATCATATTGAGAAATTCATTATCGAGTGCTGTATTTTTAGCCGAAATGGCTGCATTCTTTTCAACAATATCTTCGGTGAATATTCATTCCAATGGGCATATTTTAATCATTAGTTTATTCAATTGATAAAGCCTTCATTAGACATTTGTACTGGAATTTTAATGTATTTTGTAACTGCCAATTCAGAACTGTAAATTTCCACTCAATTATTCAATGAAAATTAATAAAACTCACGAAAAATTGAGTAAATTCATTTTTTAATTTTTTATTAATCGAAAATTCTGCTGTATATGGCACTCAATATTCAATGTTAAATATTTATTTTACTAAAATTGAATAAAAATAAAATTCAGTTTGCCTAAAAGCTTTATTTTAAATTTTTTGAATAAACCCATTTTATTCAGTTCTAATAAACTATCTTATTTTATTCCCTATTTCCATCCCCATCATTATTATTACTATTATTATTATATTTTATTTTTTACATGATAATAATCCGATAAAAAATTTAATTCTCAATTTCTTCAATTTCTCAATAAATGCATAGTAATAATAATAATAATAATAATAATAATAACTAGGGGGCTTCGCCCCCTGCTGGCTTCGCTCGCCAACCCGNGTTAATAATGTGTTAATAATGTGCTTTTTTTGTACTGAAAAAAATTGCTGCCCCATTGCGTTTTTCAGACTATTCTCCACCGAATATTAGAACAACTAGGGGGCTTCGCCCCCTGCTCGCTCCGCTCGCCAACCCGGGGGGGCTTTGCGCCCCCCCACTCGCTTCGCTCGTTCCCCCCCCCGTCCGTGTGACCGCAGCGGTGTGACCGTACCCATAAACATCTTCCATATGAGCACCCCCTAATATAGTAATCCTCCATAAATATCGATATCCCCTTTATGACCACCCCCTCATATAGACATCTCTTATAAATACACGCACCTCCTCGTATAGGCACCCAGCGTCCCCTGAATTTAAGCGTCCCCTGAACTTGAGTGTCCCCTGAATTTTTCACCTTATTTTTTTATTTATATAGAGAGATAATAATAATAGTATAAGAGTCTCCGTCATGAGACGAGGAACGTGACTGTAAAGTGCCCCCCAGAATTCCTAAGAATTCTGGGAATAAGAATGAGTAAAATTAAACCAAAGGACATGGTCCCACGTGTCCAGCTCTAGGGAGTGATTTTGCTCGTTTTACGTCGACATAAAATCATAAATTTCAACCAATCCTATTCGAGTATTTTGAATGCAGGACTGTCATTGGTTGAAATTTACGATTTTACGTGGACATAAACTGAGCAAAATCGCTCCCCTGTACTCCCCATCTAGTTCAGAAAAAAAAACCGCGGATGTAAAATTTAAAAAATACGCGGGGCGCCTGGCAGTGCTGCCACACGTTAGCCCTCGCCATCTAGTGATACCCGTATACCCCGCGGCAAGCAACGAGCCAGCGGCTGGCGTTTCCAACGAGCGATCTAATATTGCGGCAAGGTTGCAGCTGGAAAAAAAATCCATCAGTACCTGCGCAACACTCACGACAACCGCCACGCAATATTATCCCAAGCTCGCGTTAGCGAGGTTATAACGAAAAAAGTAAGCGTGACACAGGAATTCCAGGGGGGTCGATTGAGAATTCCCCCGATGACTTAATTAGAAGTTATAGCGATCGATTAATTGAGTTGAGCAATTAGTCGACGCATTTTGTCACGTAAATCTCAGGCTAGGCGTGATATGGCGGGGCAGAATAGACGAGAGAGAAGCGAGTCGAGTGGATATTACGAATATATGGAGACACTGAGGCAGTCGATGAGAAAGGAAATTGGTGGTGTCGAGGCACCGCCGGATGGTCTCGGTGAAAGGAGAGAACGAAATTCACCAGTTGTGCCTGTTACACGACAAAGGGGCACTAAACGCAATGCAAATGGTGATGATACCTCGAGCGATGAGGAGGAAAATCCGAGTGAGGGTGAGAGCCAAGAGATAAACAATCAAGAAGGTAATGTATCGATAATTGAGATTAAACAGCTGAGGATATGGGCACTTCAGTATCAAATACCACCGGCTCACTTGGAGCCCTTGCTTGTTATATTGCGAGCGAGACTTCTTCCAAGTTTACCGAGATCCGCGAAAATATTCTTAGATGACGCACCACCCCCACCCGCCAAGAAGAGAAGGGAAGAGGCAACGGAGAAAAACGAGTGCTGCAGTCCTGCCAGTAAGATTTTTTTTTTTCAATTCATTTTTTTGGATTTATTTTAATCAGCGAACGACTAATTTATAGGATTGTATTTTCTTTCCGGTTCTGTCTTCACTATTGGATTAATTGAATTTTATTCATTTTTATTGTTATTATATATATTTTTGTTACTTAATTCCCAAGTTACAACATTGAAGAGGAATTCCCCATAAATCACGTGAAAATACGGATCGACAAACAATTTTCGATATTCATACCTAAAATTTTTTATTTCTTTTTTTTTTTCTTTAAAGTAATTAGCACCGATGATCTGAAAATGTGAACGAATATGAACATTTTAAATCCCTCTGATGTCATCTCAATGGAACCGAAGAAGGAAATCGCAAAGAGTCAATAAAATGAAAAAATTTATTTTTCTGTCTTTTCGAAATTTTTCAAATTGTTTTTTTCTTTAAAAAATGAAGGGAGATTAACATTTTTAATTTCTGTGATCGTATTTCGTCCACAGAAATAGGAAATACGGAAAATGTAGGGAAGGAAAATCAGAAATAAATTTAAAAAATCGATTTTTCAATTTGAAAATTTCAAAACGTTTTTTTTTATGCAGAAAAATCAATGTATTATCTTTCTATTATCTATTTCTGATGGAAGAAAGTGAAGAGAGGAAGAGAAACGGGATCATCACGAAAACAGAATTTTTAATATTTCAATGTCTAGGGAAAATTTTAAAATTGATATATTTTTTCGAGTAATGAACCAATACCCATAAATTCAATTCCTATCCTCACATTTTCATAGAATACATAAAAAAATAGCAAAGAATTCAAATCGTCGATGAAAAAATTTATCGGATTATTATTATGCAATATTATATATATTTTTGTTACTTAATTCCCAAGTTACAACATTGAAGAGGAATTCCCCATAAATCACGTGAAAATACGGATCGACAAACAATTTTCGATATTCATACCTAAAATTTTTTATTTCTTTTTTTTTTTCTTTAACGTAATTAGCACCGATGATCTGAAAATGTGAACGAATATGAACATTTTAAATCCCTCTGATGTCATCTCAATGGAACCGAAGAAGGAAATCGCAAAGAGTCAATAAAATGAAAAAATTTATTTTTCTGTCTTTTCGAAATTTTTCAAATTGTTTTTTTCTTTAAAAAATGAAGGGAGATTAACATTTTTAATTTCTGTGATCGTATTTCGTCCACAGAAATAGGAAATACGGAAAATGTAGGGAAGGAAAATCAGAAATAAATTTAAAAAATCGATTTTTCAATTTGAAAATTTCAAAACGTTTTTTTTTATGCAGAAAAATCAATGTATTATCTTTCTATTATCTATTTCTGATGGAAGAAAGTGAAGAGAGGAAGAGAAACGAGATCATCACGAAAACAGAATTTTTAATATTTCAATGTCTAGGGAAAATTTCAAAATTGATATATTTTTTCGAGTAATGAACCAATACCCATAAATTCAATTTCTATCCTCACATTTTCATAGAATACATAAAAAAATAGCAAAGAATTCAAATCGTCGATGAAAAAATTTATCGGATTATTATTATGCAATGTAATAATAATAATTGAACAATTATTCAATTTCTGATTGATGAAATCGTCAAAAGTTCCCAGATATTTTCTCAATCTTGAAAATGAGCCCCGACCAGAATGAATTTACTCAATCTAATGTGTTCTACTAATTTGAATGACCATTTCCTCATTTCCCCAGTCCTCAAAGAAATTTTGAAGAAGTTGGTTTCGATTGAAACAGACGTTAAGAAAAATCGCGAGACCCTGGCAAACATCGAGGACTGCCTCCAAGTAAAAGACGACTTCGTGTCCGCCGACTTCTCAATTCCCACGAAACACGAGATTGAATTACCAATAAATTCCGTAAACGCCCTTCTGCACTTTGAACAAAAATTGACAGATGACAGAAGGTGCCTCTCCGATACTGTAAGTATTCATCACAAATTTGGAAAGTTGATTAATGGAAATATCCGTTACCGTTAGAATACCCCAATTGCGCAATTACTCCATTCATATTTGAAGTTTGAAAAATAGTGTCATTAATACACTTGAAATTTCATCACGTTATATTTTTTTAAAGCTCCAAGTGATGAAGCGGTTGAAGTCGTCGAAGGTCTCCATAAGTGCTACATCGATACTGAGAAAATTTCTCGGGAGGACCGTGGCAACACAGTACACCGCTACGAAAAAAATGACTGATAAATTGGTCATGGAAACACATGTACCAAAATTTATGGGATGTGTCCTAGGTGATAAAAGAAGTCATTTTTATTCTTTAAATTTTTTTCCTTCAGCTGAAGTATCTCACAGCCACTTCAATGAATAATAACTCCAAACCCATGCCAATAATGTAAAGAAAGAATGGCATTATCGGCGTGTTTATATTCGATTTGAGAGTCATTCATTGATTACGTCAAGAGCCTGATGAAGCTAATATATTGTGATGTAGAATTCCAGTGGGTTTGATAATAAATGAATGTTTATTAAAGAAAATGGGGGGGATAGAGTGATGAATAGAAGGTAAACGAATAAGAATAACAAGTTGAGAGGAAGGAAAAGAAGAAATACGCAACAATATTAAGCGAAACGTCGCACTACGACAATTTAATCGATGTTGTGAACTTATTTCCCCACTCAGCTACAAGAACTGAGGGGTTTATAAACGTCATGTATTTAAAATAGACAAAGCCGTTCGTCGTCCAATATTAGATTACGTACACGCCCTTCCCCTAGACAAAACAGAATGAATAACTGTAGTGAAAGAATTCGAAGCGAAGTAAATCATAGAGAGTACCCAGACAGACAAATTTATTTTTTGAAAAATATATAAAAAAATATCTCAAATTGGTCCAATTTATGTTTAAAAAAATGTAAAATATGTTTTCAATTTTTTTAATCTATTCTTTATAAATTTGAAAAATATGTGGAATTGGCCCATATCATAAATATTTTTTATATATTTGTTGATGGGGGTATAATTAACCAGACGTGCGGAAAAAGGCACGCACGAGTATAACTGCATCAATCTAATATGATTGTAATTAAAATCTCCAGAGGCACTTATGGCCACTCACGAGGGCCTCTCGGACAAGGAGGCTAAGGCGGCTGTGGGCACGGCCCTCACCCAATCCAAAGGCTGGGACGGACAGCGATCGGAAAAAAATAAAAAACTGCTCCACAGTTCCATGACTGTTATTAAAGAGGAAGAGGATATTCTCGACGCCGACTCGATTATGTCTAATACGTGGATGGGCGAGAGATTCAGGCTTGACACATCGGCGTCAGAGTAGAAGATACGAATAGTGATAAGCACGAGATGATTACTGAGCTTTCCTCCGACTTTATAATATTTTTGTATTAATAAATGCTTGAAAAATTAGAAATGTTGAAATTTTCATTTCCTCCTTTTTACCACCGACGGCAAACCAGAGGGAGGGGTATATGCTTTTGACGGTCCATACCACGACTCTTCGATATCTGTTTGGACGAAACTACATGAAAAACGATTCGAAAAAATGAATACTTGTATCAGGAATAAAGAGAACATTCCGGGGAACTCAACTACGGAGGCCGATTTTCGATTAAGTACTCCGTTTTCCTACAAAATGCATTCAAAAAAATAATAATTTGGGCACGGTAAAAATATTAAACCGAAATTCCCTAGCGAGCAAACGAAAAATCCGTTGGTTAAATTGGTTAGTTATTACTCAACGAGAAAAGCAACAAATAAGTGAGGACTAACAGTGATATTAAATCTTAACGAATGTAAAACAGAGTTGAATTGAATGAAAATATGAATTTTGAAGAAATCTTATATAACTGACGTTATCTAAATATCAAGGATACGATGTTTGCACAGGTGTAAAGCAAAGCAAACGTTTGTGACACCAGAGACGAACAAATAAATAAATGAGTATTTATTTATTTATTTCGTTTTTAATGCGTAAGAGACGACTAAGCGAGGTTTAATGACCATCATGACAGCAATTTCCCACTTGTTTCACTCTACTCTATTAAAAATCGCAGTTGTTCGTATCGATATCACCATATTGATGTCATCCATTCAAGTCTACTGATAAGTAATTTCCCAGTGGTATCATCATCGCCTCAGATATACGCCTCATTGGAAAATAGTAGCCATCAAATGATGGTATATAGCCAGTTGAAACCAGGTATAAAAGCTACGGCGTTATCCGTGAGTCGAGTGCCACGACTTGACACCATTGACCCGTGGCGTTTCACGATACATGAAGGGGTCACCCACAGAATCGCCGGGGATTCGCTACTTGCACGCCTTAGCGGCACGAGAGAGGGACGCTTAGCCTATCCACCGAGCTGACGGATTAATCGCGCAAAGTGCGAAGAAGCCGCCTCCAACACTAACGACTGTTTATCATTCACCTCAACATCTGAATATCTCACATACAGACTCGTAAAGATTACACAGACATTTAACGAAGACATTTATGAACTCTGGGAAAACAATTATTGAACACTTCTGAGATGAAGAATTCGGTTGAATATGAGTTTTAAGAGGAATGGTAATTATGGGAAGACTAACGAGTAGCACGATTATGGAAATTGCTTCATTGGAGTGGGGTTTGAAATTCAATGGGTTATGATCGTAGGTAGGAATCATTTCACTTTGAAAGTTCAGGGAACAAGTGACTTTATCATTATTCCGAAACGGGGGGGGGGCTACGCCCCCTCGCTCCGCTCGCCAAACTCCATATGACCCCCGTGAACCTTACTCTAACCCTTATTTTGACCCTCATGACCCTTTTTCTGAACCTTATTTTCATCATGACCCGTATTCTGGCCCTTGTAGCCCTTAATCTAACCCTTGTGACCCTTTATCTAACCCTCGTGACCTTTATTCTGACCATCATAATCCTCGTGACCCATATTTTGACCCCCATGACCCCTATTTATACCCTTTTTTGACCTTTATGACCCTTATTCTGAACCTTATTTTAATCATAAAATTTATTTCGACCCTTATTCTGACCCTTGTAACCCTTAATCTGACGCTTGTGATCATTAGTCTTATTTAGACCCTTTTTTGACAGCCATGACCCTTATTCTGAACCTTATTTTGAGCATAACCCTTTTTTAGACCCTTATTCTGACCCTTGTAACCCTTAATCTGGCCCTTGCGACCCTTAGTCTTACCCTCGTGACCGTTATTCTGATCCTCATTATAATCCTTGTGACCCTTACTTTGATCCTTGTGGCCCTTATTTTAACCCTTGTGACCCTTAGTTTGACCCCCATGACCCTTATTTAGACCTTTTTCTGACCCTTGCAAACCCTAATCTGACTCTTGGGACCCTTAATCTGACCCTTATTTTCATCCTACTGACCCTTTATTTCTGGCCCTTAATTTTGGAGTCTCAACTTCGAGCACCGAATTTTCATCACCAGAAGTCGATTTATATTTTTATAATATACAGAGACTATATCATTTATCATACAATTAGGGGTTGAAATTAATTCTTTTGGAGAGAAACAGTTCATTTTAATGAATAAATAATAAAAAAATTATAGTAAACGAAAATAAAAAACTCAAACTTGACTCTTATTTCAATTTTTCGTCACATGCAACGAATACTTATTTCTTTTCATCATCAAATTGAGAAAATGCGAATAAATCGCCGGAGGTTGAATTTGAACCCACGAACAAAGGAAATAATTCAATTGAACAAATTAATATAACAAATCAATTAATGATATCTACAATCGATTTTTCATACGAATTATCATCATTCTTTCTAACAATTCGTCATCTATTGCCAAATATCACGGGATAAATTTCGATCTCAATGTCTCAACGCTATTTCACAAGACCGTCAAATTCATTTATGAAAATCAATCGACGAAGATTCAATAACACCAGTGGACACTATTTCCATTCATATTGTTCCATCCCATCGTCAGCCCAGTAATTCAAACCGAAAAGGTACAATTTTCAACTCAGAATTATTAATAATTTATGAGTAATTTCGGGATTTGTCTCAATGCCTGGGCGTCAACCTTGATAGGGGCCAGTTGAATGGGCTCCAGATGTCCGCATTTCTGCATATATTATAGCTGATAGGTCACAATTCCACACGGATAACACCATTCATCAATATTTTCATTCGATTAGAAATCTCTCGCAGGTGGGAACAGACAACTCAACATTAACACTTGCACTTCTCCTCGAATTATCATATTCATTCTCCATTTAATGCTCGTGTTGAACACCTATTTCTTATCCCTCTTTGGCTCCGAGTAAAAAAAACTACTGAATAATACCGGTGTATTGATACAATTATTGCAGCCTTACATGACAATTTAACGACATTTTAAAATGTCAGTGGCGCTAAGCGATAATTGCTGGAATCTATTAAACACGCTTGCAGACGAGGTAGACCAAACGGTCTTCAATCGTCAATATCTCCCGACCGAGCGATGCAATTTAGTTGAGTCAGCGCTCATTTTGAGGCTTAAAAAAATACCTTGAAAATGAAAGAAAAAATGGACAATTTCACTCAGCCGTTTTTGAGATATTGAAGGTGAAACAATCGCCCGCTCTGTCCCACTCTCTCCTATTCTATGAGTATCGCACTTCCTTGGAAACGGAAAGTACTGGGATGAAAGAAATCAGCACTCGTCCGGGTGTTACTTGCATACGGTACATTCACCAGGTGTCCGACAAGGTCGTCGACTGTGCCGAGTTTCATTGTTCATAAGGATTGAGAATACAATCAACGGGGTAGAAATTGAGAGTTGATTTGATCTCAATGATCTTCACCTGAATCGTCAGGACCACTCCAGGAGGTAAATGCAGGTCGGTTTTAATGGTTTGGGTATTTATCGATTATTCACTAGGTTAAATAGCGAAATGTCCGCTTGTGAGGTCTTTTTGGAAAAAGATTTATGCGATGCAGGGAAGATATCGGACATAATGGTGATTTATTTGCGTTGATCGACCATTGAATGTGCAAAAAAAAATTCAAATCATATTTTGTGGGGAACGCGAGAGATATTTGCATCGTAATAGATTGAGATAACGCAAACTATCCGAAAGATAAATTGGAGGAATGATAAAGCAAGTGGGAAGTTGCCTTCGTCACGACGTAGTCAATATATTTTTGATAGTGAATTGGCAATTTGCTTGCAAATGAAATTTGGATGACGATGTATTTTCAATTAATTTCAGCATTGCCCTAATGTTGGCAGTTAATACTGTCTCAATGTTGGCAGCCAACATCGCGCCAACACTGCGCCAACATTGACACTCAACATTGCCTCAACGTTGGTAGCCGACATTACACATATGTTGGTAGCCAACGTAGATCCAACGTTGACAGCCAACATTCTCCCAACATTGGGCCAACGTTGGGACAATGTTGCCTGTCAACGTTGGGGTAATGTCGGCTGCCAATATTCCCCAACGTTAATACTTTTTTCCTTTCCCAGAATATTGGTTGCAAAATATTTTTTTTCAATAACAGTTGGCAGCCACCATTGCCCCGACATTGACCCAACGTTGGCAGCCAACACTGTCCCAACATTAGCCCAACGTTAATTTTTTTTTACCTTTCCCAGAATATTGATTTCGAAATAATTCTTTTCAATAACAGTTGGCAGCCAACATTGCCCCAACGTTAAATTTTTTACCTCTCCCAGATTACTGATGTCAAAATAAATTTTTTCAACAACAGATGATGCAATCAATCTCATAATCGAACTCGATCAAGATGGCACTGGGAAGAATATTTTAAATAACAACTGGATTAATTAAAACAATTATTTTTTCGAACTTCTGATGCCAAAATTATCTATCCTGTCAAAAAACTAGAAATTTCGGATTTTCTGAAAACAATGCTTCCATTAGTAAGCAAAAAGACTGCAGAAATTACGAGAAAAATGAATTTTTCATGATTTTCTTCACCACATAATCGCAATTCCAACTAAATCACTGCCACCATGTCACAATTGCCCGAAGACGGCAATAGATCGGTGCGATGAGTGTCGATGAATGCCCGCCGGCACAAAATCTATCGCACGAGAGCAAAAGCCCGTAAATCACCGGCATTTCATATTAACACAGTCCAGCACGCGCGTCCCGACACTTATCCCCCCGATTTTAATTACAAATCTCCGCTCATTGATTCTCACGTGAAAAAAAAAACACTCATCAGAGAGGAAACTAGTCGACTCGAAATGCCCCAGAACGTCGCTGGTGAGAGTTCGAAAAATTATNAAAAAAAAAAAAAAAAAAAAAAAAAAAAAAAAAAAAAAAAAAAAAAAAAAAAAAAAAAAAAAAAAAAAAAAAAAAAAAAAAAAAAAAAAAAAAAAAAAAAAAAAAAAAAAAAAAAAAAAAAAAAAAAAAAAA